GAAATTATCTGGGCATGTCTCTAATAAAAATGCAACAATTAAAAGTGTGGTGGCAGGTGCCTGTAATCCCAGCTACTCAGGAGGCTGAGGCAGGAGAATCGTTTGAACGTGGGAGGCAGAGGTTGGAGTGAGCCTAGATCGTCCTATTGCACTCCAGCCACAGCAACAAGAGTGAAACTCCCTCTCAAAAGAAAAAAAAACCACCTAACTTTGCCTTGGAAAATTGTGACAGTCTATAATCCCCTGATTGAGAGTGTTGGCAGATCTGTGGTCTTCCCTACTTAGGTCTTGCTGGTAGAGCTGTTCCCTCATGATACTCACTGGTCTCTATAGCAGTTTGAAGATAAGAGGTGAGACTAGAGAAATTCCTTTGCTTTTAGAAGTCCCAGAGGTTATTCTTTCAGAGGCAGAACCTAAGGCTGCTGGTTAAAAATGAGTTTTGGTGCCCCTTTGTTTTATGTGTAACTCCACTGCCACCACACCATGACATTCCTTCTTTTCAGTCACTTGTCTGTCTCTGTAAAATGGACAGCACTGTGGAATGTGCCAAAGACAACCGTGTTGGCCTTGGTCAGTAGACAATGCCCTTCGGGAATTTTTATTTTCCTCTGTACTTTGGGGTCAGAACCTAAAAGATCAATGACTCCTGTATTTTGCTTTCAGAAAACCTTCACCCCAAATATCATCAGTCGGAAGATCAAGGAAGAGTAAGTATAAGTAGCTAGGCCTTCTGAATACTTACCCCTTATTTACTTTCTCTGAATATGTGGCCTTGGGGGAAGTAACTAGGTTTGTGGCTCTGATATTTAAATTTATGTTTTTACTTCTTTTCACTAGTGATTTTCAATCCTGGCTTCTCGGTGATTCTGATGTGCAAGTTAAAAAAAAAAAATACTGGTGTCTAGGGCTCCATCTCTAGAAATTGTGATTTAATTTGTTGGCAGTAGAATGGAGTGATTCTCTTTGATGGCCAGAGTTGAGAGCCACTAGTTTAAACAAAGATGTATCACACTTTCCCTGAAGTTCCTTTGGATTTCTGCCTTCCTGCTTTCAGTCCCAATGCAAAAAAAAAAAAATCTACATTTTTGGACAAGGTGAAGTAAAGCAAACTGAAAAAATCCTGCCTCATCAAGGAAGTGAGAAAAGTGCTAGAATTAGGATTGGATTCTGCTTCTCATAGTGTAATTATTGGCTCAGACTCTCCACTGTCTTGGAGTGAGGTGGTATGGGAGATTAAGGCCAGTTTTTGGAGACACAGTGAGTGAGTGGTTTCCCTTAATCCATTCTCTTTTCCAGGCCCAAGGAAGAAGTAACTGTCAAGAAGGAGAAGCGTGAGAGGGACAGAGACCGACAGCGAGAGGGGCATGGACGAGGACGAGGCCGCCCAGAAGTGATCCAGTCCCACTCCATCTTTGAGCAGGGCCCAGCCGAAATGATGAAGAAAAAAGGTACGAAGAAGGAATCAGTAGTGAGTTTCAGTTCAGACTGCCCAAGAGAAGGGCAAGAGCAGTGGAATTTCCCCGCACCCAGTTCAGTTTTCCATGCTGTTGGCATCTTCCTGATTGATCCCTAGTGACCCGGGTGATTTCCCACAGGAAACTGGGATAAGACAGTGGATGTGTCAGACATGGGACCTTCTCATATCATCAACATCAAAAAAGAGAAGAGAGAGACAGACGAAGAAACGAAACAGATCTTGCGCATGCTGGAGAAGGACGATGTGGGTACCCGGAGGCTCAGGGAAGGGGCTTCCTTGTGGCTGTAGAACAGGGCTTCTGGGGAGCCAGGTGAGGGGCAGAAGAGCTCACTGATGTCCTGGAATCTAGGGGAGCGGCAGGAATCTTTGGTTAGAAAGGGTCCAAAGCAGACTTCGATCCAGGTGCGTGTGCTAGCAGGCTGGATGACCCCAACTCTTTTTGGCAGTTCCTCGATGACCCAGGGCTGAGGAACGACACTCGAAATATGCCTGTGCAGCTGCCGCTGGCTCACTCGGGATGGCTTTTTAAGGAAGAAAATGACGAACCAGATGTTAAACCATGGCTGACTGGCCCCAAGGAAGAGGACATGGAGGTGGACATACCTGCTGTGAAAGGTAGTCTGTGTCCATTAACTTCTCATCTCCAATTCCATGGCTACTCCCAGGAATCCCTGGCATCAGGCATCCCTTGCTTGGGGCCCTAACTAGTGCTCTTGAGCAGGTCCTCCCTAGCTGGCTGTAAGATACAGGAGCTAAACAAAGATGCTTGATTCTCCCTCACAGAGGGTTCACATGTTGACGTGGAGCAGTGGGCCCAGCCTCAGATGTCCTTTTTTAGTTAAGTCACATGAGACTTGAACGTGTTGTCTTGTGCCCCTCTCTATAACCAGTCCCTCCTTCCCACTCCCTGGCTAAGTGATAGTGGAGTAAACGGGGGCAAAGGGCTGTTAACAGTGAGCTGGTGTGGAGGGTGGTCCCATGATAGCCTTCCATTTCTATCACCCCGGCAGTGAAAGAGGAGCCTCGAGATGAGGAGGAGGAGGCCAAGATGAAGGCTCCTCCCAAAGCAGCCAGGAAGACCCCGGGCCTCCCGAAGGACATATCCGTGGCAGAGCTGCTCAGGGAGCTGAGCCTGACCAAGGAGGAGGAACTGCTGTTTCTCCAGCTGCCAGACACCCTCCCTGGCCAACCGCCCACCCAGGACATCAAGCCCATTAAGACAGAGGTACAGGGTGAGGATGGCCAGATGGTACTCATCAAGCAGGAGAAGGACCGGGTATGCCCAGGCAGACACCTGCGGGAATAGAGGCAGGGACTGGGAGGGGAAGTGTAGTCTGTAGTGGGAAGCAAAGCCGTGCCACCCTGGCTGAAATTGGACAATAATGGTTGGTTATTCTTGGAGCCTGCAAGAGCCATGGGGCTTTGTGCCTCCAACCTCAATTGTGTTTGTATGTGGGGTGGGTGTGTTTAATTTTTATAAGGAAATACTTTAAACACATACAAATGAGAGAACATATGGCCAGGTGTGGTGGCTCATGCCTCTAATCCCAGCACTTTGGGAGGCCGAGAGAGGATCACTTGAGGCCCGGAGATCGAGACTGGCCTGTGCAACATGGTGGAACCCTGTCTCTACCAAAAAATAGATAAAATAATTAGCCAGGCATGGTGGCATGTGCCTGTAGTCCCCGCTACTCGGGAGGCTGAGATGGGAGGATGGCTCGAGCCCAGGATGCAGAGGTTGCAGTGAGCCAAGGTCACACCACCGCACCCCAACCTGGGCAGCAGAGCCAGACATTGTCCCCAGAAAAAGAACATAAACTGCTGTGTACCGGAAACTCAGCTTCACCAGTTACTGATATTTTGTCCATTTATATATTTGTTTGCTGTGGTGTTGTATTTTAACCATGGCAGACAGCCCTAGGAGAAGGCACTCTTTGGAGAGCTCATTCTGACCTTTGCCATGCCTGCCTCTTGGTGGGTGTAAGGGGGTGCATGAAAGATGGAGGAAAGCGCTCCTAGCCCAGTGTCCATCCTCTGACTTTCTCCACAGGAAGCCAGACTGGCAGAGAATGCTTGTACCCTGGCTGACCTGACAGAGGGTCAGGTTGGCAAGCTACTCATCCGCAAGTCTGGAAGGGTGCAACTCCTCCTGGGCAAGGTGACTCTGGACGTGACCATGGGAACCGCCTGCTCCTTCCTGCAGGTAAGAGCCTCCCTAGGGCCAGGGAGGGAGCCTTTAAGGAGTGGAGGAGCATTGAAGTGCTGGTGATAAATAAGGGGGTTCCTGGGGGTATCACATTCCCATTCACAGCTCTACACGCTGTGCATATGGTTGTGGTTCTCATCACTGTCTCTGTCAATTGGCAGGAGCTGGTGTCCGTGGGCCTTGGAGACAGTAGGACAGGGGAGATGACAGTCCTGGGACACGTGAAGCACAAACTTGTATGTTCCCCTGATTTTGAGTCTCTCTTGGATCACAAACACCGGTAAAATGAGCAGATGGAGGAGGACGGCGCCTGTGCCCACGGCTGCTGCCTGCTCCAGACATTTTGTTCTTGAATCTGTGAGACCCAAAAGGGGCCCACTGAGCCTACCCACTCCAGCCTTTGGCAGCCATTGTCCCAGATTCCCCTGGGCTTCCTCCCACAGCAGCTGTCAATGGCACAGTGACCTTCCTGCAGCATGGAGTTGGCATATCTTTGCTGCTGGGGATTTGGCCCTGCTATTTATTTTTATATTTATGTCTTAATCTCTTCCACTGATGCATCCTACCAAGGTAGGTGGGGAGGGTCTGTGGGAAGGGGCTGGCCTCTCCTGGGGGCTGTTGGGCTGCAGGGACAGAAGTGTCAGAACTGCAGCTTCTGCTGATGCTCCGTCCCTCCTAGAAGCAACATAAGAGAGGAAGCAAGGATTGAGTCTGAGACTTAAGCACTTGGTCCCAGCTTGCCAGTTCCTGGTTCTGCGTCCTTGAACAAACTACCTAACCTTTCTGAGCCTCCTGTTCATCATCCGACACAAGCATGAGCAGGTTCTCCCTTTCTGACTGTAAGATACATGAGCTGGTACAGATGGTGGTCACGTGATAGCCTTCCATTTCTATCACCTAGGCAGTGAAAGAGGAGCCGTGAGATGAGGAGAGGAGGCCACGATGAAGGTTTGGGGGATGATACCTACCTCCCAGGGTTGGCGTGAGGATTCATGGGCTATTAGAGATGAAAACCCCTGCACAAGGCCGGAACCAGTAGGCGCTCAACAAATGTTCGTGTCCTTTTTCTCTACCTGAGTCTATATTCCAACAAAGTAGAGATTCCAAGTCTCAAAAGCAGTGACTAGAGCTGCTCCCATCCTTGCTCTTGTTTCTTCCTGCTTTATATCCCGCCCTCACCCTGGGCCTGATGCCCTAAATTTACGAGGTCAGGCTGTTCTATGCCTTTTTCTCCTGGCTCCTCTTAGCCAGGTGCTTCCTGTGTCAGTTGCTGTAATAGCTGTGGGTCATAGGAAGAGATCAGAGACCCCTGCCTGCACCCTGCAAAAGCCTTTGGGGGACATGGTGTGCCAAGGACATGTTCTTGCACTCCTGTCTTTATAGTTATTTCTCATGTATGAGCCAAAGTCAAATATTGCTAACAAAAACTAAACCCTTGGTAAGAGAAGTTAGGGGTGTGTTGAACAGTGGCCTCTTTGACACTTGGCTGATGATGCCCACTTCAGAAACTTCAGGATCAGAGGCCTCCCTCTGTGTCCTGTCCTAGCACTGCCAGAGCCATCCACAGTGTTACTTTTTTGGGACTGTGATCTTGTTCCCTTTACCTGGTCATCGTACTGTGTTGTCCCTGGAGGAACAGCTTCTCCTCCTCTGTCTTGACAGTATGGCTGGGGTTTTCCCTCGTTCAGGTGGGGAGACGTTTGCAGGTTAAAGAAAGGCCTCATGCGGTGGTGTGTGTGGCTGTTAGACATTGGTGGCACAGCTTCCCTTTGCTGGCGTCATGGCACATGGTGTCTGGGACAGAATGAACGATAGGGGCTCAGGAAAGACTGCTTCCTGCCCACCCCCATCCCTGATTTCTAGTGGCCCCTAAGATTTTGGGTACATCTTCCTTCAGGCTCACCTTCCTTCTTTTCAAAGCTCCTCAATCCTGTTACTCATTTGTCAAGGCTGGGCTTTTCCTACAAAGCCCTCAACCTGTTGACCACATCACCCTTTCTGGAGCTGAAGCTAATCTCAACTCCATTGGATAGTGTTGTTCTGGGCTCTTCTCATTGTAGAGGACTGGAGCAGAAAGGGTTCCTTGGAAAGATGTGCTGGGTAGCCCTCTTTGGTCGGCTAACGTTTGATTAGCTCTGGACTCCAGCCCTTCCTTCCTTTAAATAGCTGATGCACTGCCAACCGGTCGCCATTCTCATCTTCTCTTTCCGTTCTCTTTCTTTGGTTCAGAAATACTCTTTTGCTTTTTTTGGATGAACTCAATTGCCCAATGTTAGATATTGAGTGTTTTTCAATCTTTAGTTTTCTGACTCTTCCAAGAAAGTTTGAGGAAGAGCATGCACTGTTTTTGCGTTCCTTTCGCCCATTCATATGTCTTGGCTTGAACCTTATGACTCTGCATCAAAGTCCACACGGCCTGTCCCTAGATCCCTGATGCACAAATTAGGTCTCATCAATAAATGTGGGCAAAGAGAGGAGAGTCTGCTTTCTTGGTCGGGCTCCAAGGCGTGCATTTTTACCAAGGAATATGTACAAATGGCAGAGGAGAAAAACCAAAGCCAGATTCATACATGAGTGCAAGTGGATGCAAGTTTGCTGCTATCTGCATCTGTGCATACGCTTTTTGTTAAAGAGAGAAAGAAGGGACAATAGGCTTGTGCAGTTTTCTAACTACATGGTTAAGTGGCAGAGTCTGGGCTGTTGAGTCATGGTTGGGTTTGAATGCGACTCCACCAGTGAACTTTGGGTTGGAAAAAATCCCTTACCCTCTTTAAGCTTGATTTTATTTATTTTATTTAAGAATGAGACAGTAGTGACTTTTTCTTTCTTTCTTTTTTGTTTCTTTCTGCCTTCTTTAGAAAGAAGTCACTTTTTTCTAATAGGGTTGCTTTTAAATTAGAGTGAACAGGAGGCATGTATTGGGTGCCAGACAGATAATTGCTTGTAACAGGATGTGATCAGCATGAACAACAGAGAATTAGCCTGACGGTGGCTTAAGCGATGAGAATGTTTATCTCACGTAGCAAGAAGTCTGTAAATAGATGGTTCTAGAGTTGGTGGAAGCCAAAATGTCATCAGGATTTCCTTGGAAACTTTAGCTCTGCCATCCTCAGTGTTGCAGTGTGGCTGCTCCTATGCCAAGCATCATTCTCCAGATGACAGTGCACACAGCCAGAGTGGACAGTGGCACAGGTGCGTTCTCATTCTGCTCTGTCTTTCTCCGGGAAGAACCATCAGCAGCTCCAGCAGCCTCGCCCCCGTCTCTTTATAGAGTGGGGCCACATGCTCACTCTTGAACCAGGCACTGGCAAAGGGGGTGAGTGGAATAGTGTATCCCCTGGCACGGAGCACACTCACCCTTGAGCTGGGGTTTTGTTTGTAGGGAAGAAGCTGGAGTGGCAGTTGGATAGACCATTCATAGTAGCTGCTGCCATGTTCAAAAAATACTACAATGTCAAATCATAAAGTGTTCATCTCGGCAGAACTTTTTAAAATGTTCAGTCACCTTTTATTCTATGAAATTCAATTTTAACATTTTAGTGTATATTATTTTAGATTCGGGAGGTACATGTGCATGTTTGTTTTTTGTTTTGTTTTGATTTTGAGATGTCTCTTTCTGTCACCCACTCTAGAGTGCAGTGGTGTGATCTTGTCTCAGTGCAACCTCTGCCTCCCAGGTTCAAGTGATCCTCCCACCTCAGCCCACCAAATAGCTGGGATTGCAGGTGCCCACCACCACACCCGGCTAATTTTTGTGTTTTTAATAGAGGCAGGGTTTCACCATGTTGGCCAGGCTGGTCTCAAACTCCTGACCTCAAGTGATCCACCCACCACAGCCTCCCAAAGTGCTAGGGTTACAGGCATGAGCCACCACGTCCGGCCCCATGCACATATTTGTGTATGTTGCTTACTGGTGGGGATCAGGCTTCTGTTGTACCTGTCACCCAAATAGTGAACATTGTACTCAGGTAACTTTTCAGCCGTTGGCCCCCTCCCACTCACCCCGTTTTGGAGTGCCCAGGGTTTGTTATTTCCATCTTTATGTCCATATGTACCCATTATTTAGCTCCCACTTATAAGTGAGAACATGTGCAATTTGATTTTCTGTTTCTAAGTACACTTAGGATAATAATCTCAAGCTCCATCCATGTTGCTGCAAAGGACATGATTTCATTATTTTTTATGACTCCTCAATGTCTTATTTCAGTCTCCAAAATTTTTTATGTTATTTATAGTGATATAAATTATGTGGTTTAAATTATGTGATATAAATTATGCAATGACTCACACCTATGATCCCAGCACTTTGGGAGGCTGATGTGGGTGGATCGCCTGAGGTCAGGAGTTTGAGACCAGCTTGGCCAACACGATGAAACCCCATGTCTACTCAAAAGACAAAAAATTAGCCAGGCATGGTGGTACACACCTGTAATCCTAGCCACTTGGGAGGCTGAGGCAGGAGAATTACTTGAACCCAGGAAGCAGAGGTTACAGTGAGCCAAGATCATGCCATTGCACTCCAGTTTGGGCAACAAGAGCGAAACTCCATCTCAAAAAAATAAAAATAAAATAAATATGTGGTTTTATCATGTTTTTATCATCTATCTCACTCAAAAATATATACAATTCTTTGGTCCCAACTACTCGGGAGGCTGAGGTGGGAGGATCATTTGAGCCCAGGAGTTCAATACCAGTCTGGGCAACATAGTGAGACCTTGTCTTTGAAAAATAAGTAATACAGGCCGGGCGCGGTGGCTCAAGCCTGTAATCCCAGCACTTTGGGAGGCCGAGGCGGGTGGATCACGAGGTCAAGAGATCGAGACCATCCTGGTCAACATGGTGAAACGCCGTCTTTACTAAAAATACAAAAAATTAGCTGGGCATGGTGGCGCGTGCCTGTAATCCCAGCTACTCAGGAGGCTGAGGCAGGAGAATTGCCTGAACCCAGGAGACGGAGGTTGCGGTGAGCCGAGATCGCGCCATTGCACTCCAGCCTGGGTAACAAGAGCGAAACTCCGTCTCAAAAAAAAAAAAAAGAAAAATAAGTAATACATACCCACATCTGGACATACGCAGTTCTTCCATGTTAATGAGTATTTTGTGTTTCACATACTTCTGAATTAGCTGAAGGAATTAAAAGGTATCATCTTTTTTTTTTTTTTAAGATGGAGTCTCGCTCTGTCACCCAGGCTAGAGCGCAGTGGCCTGATCTCAGCTCAGTGCAACCTCTGCCGCCCGGGTTCAAGCAATTCTTCCACCTCAGCCTCCCATGTAGCTGGGACCTACATGCACTAGCCACCACGCCTGGCTAATTTTTGTATTTCTAGTAGAGCTGGGGTTTCACCATGTTGGCCAGGCTGTTCTTGAACTCCAGACCTCGTGATCCACCTGCCTCAGCCTCCCAAAGTGCTGTGATTATAGGTGTGAGCTACTGCACCCAGCCAAAGGTAGCATCTTTTAATCCTGGACCGCCCCCAACGTGGTCTGATTGAATTGGGCACTCAGCACTAGGTTCTTCGAAGGAAAAGAGGCTTCTTTCCTGGGACAGTGCACAGTGAAAGGGCGGCACCCATGCTGTTCATCCAGTGCTCCAACCAGTCCTGGTGTTGGATACTTCCACGTTTGGGGCATTTCTCCTCTCGAGATGTCTGTGCTAGTGACAGATGATGTGAACACCTCCTCTTGGATTGTGGTTCGGCTGCACAAGGCCCCACCAAAGTTCTACAGCTAAAGCATGGGGCCCAGAGGGGGCCTGGGTCTTAGGGGTGTCATCTGAAAAAATAGAGATGGTGATGGGATGCCACCTCTAGGAGCACCTCTGTGTGGCCACCTTCTGCCTCAGCTCTTCTAAAGCATTTCTTCTGTTCCCTTTCATTGCGGTAACCACTGACCTGTCTCCCCAAAAACGGAGTCAGAAGTTGGACTTTGTTATTTGGTTCATCAACATTTAAGACCTAGTCAGAAAAAAAAATGCAGTCTTACATCTTGAGAAAGCTTACATGAAAGAAAAAAAAATGCAGTCTTAAATTTTGAGAAAGCTTACATGAAAGAAAAAGAAAAATGCAGTGTTGAACACTGTTGGCCTGGAGACTGTATCTTACGTATTTTCCAGGGTTCACTGGACAAGTGGAAACCATTCTAGGCATACTAAGCAGAAAGAGTTAATACAGGAAGATAAGTTTATAGACTCCTTGGAAGGCTGGAGGAGTGAGCCATAGGCTGAGCATCCAGGAATCAAAACCCCATAGAACAGATGGTGAGGGAGCTACATGCTCTGCCATAGTCAGGAATGTGGAGACTCTGGAGTTCCACTGAGTTCCAGAACACAGCACACTGCCACAGCTGCCAGCCAGGCCTGAGGGAATCCCACCACCTCAGCTGCCTCTGGAGAACCACACAGCTGTAGCTGGACCCTGGCACACGGAAGAAAGTGCCTGCCGTGTGCTAGGCGCCGCTGCAGGAGGGCCGTGGTTAAACAAGTCTGTGCTCTGCATGTGCCTGCGCTCTAGTGAGGAGACAGGTTAAGCATATGGAAGGAAGTTAGAAGGTAACAAGAGTTTGGAAACTTGCAGGGAGTGGAGGATTCTGGGTAGTGGCAGGCAGGATGCAGCAAGTGGGTTAGGCTTCCCTGAGAAGGTATCCTTTGAGGAAGTGAACCAGCGGGATCAGAAGCTGGTAAGGAGAGTACGCTGGGCTGAGCAGAGTGAGATTGGCTGAAAGTGAGGTACAGAGAGGTGGGACCTGGTCCTGGAGGCCTTTTAGGCCACCATAGGGACCTTGGCTTTTTTAAGTGACCTGGTGAGCTGGCTGTGGTGTGGAGGTGAGGCAGGAAGTGGGGCTGATGGACTCTCTGGGCAGTGGGTGGCAGTGGCTTGGCCAGGCTGCTAACAGCAGAGGTGCCGGGAAGTGATTGGATTCTAGATACTGATTTCAAGGGTAGCACCACCGTGATCCACTGATAGATTCAGTGTGAGGTATGTGAGAGGAGTCAGGCTCACTCCATAGCTCTCGCAGTGGAAAACAGCCAAAGTGAAGAGGATGGCCTCAAGTGTACCTCCACCTTTCAAATCTCAACTCATAAGACCTCAGGCATGCCCAGAATGCTAGCAGAAGAGATTTAGGGAAATGTGCGCATTTCGCTTTCTGGCCCCTGCAGTTCAGGTTCCACCTTACAAAGTGGTGAGGGAGTGGAGTGGGTGGGGGATGCCACCCAGCCATATTCACAAGAGTTGGCATAAGGATTCACAGTTGAGTGAAGCTTCCTGAGACTGCTGTGCTGCCAACAAAAGCACACTCAGTACCTACACGAGCCGTATTCAGTGTGGCTCTCAGACCTTTCTCCAGGGCAAGATGATCGCAAGAATTCTTGTAGAAACGTCTCTTACATTGTACAACTCAACTTTAATGGTTATATTGGTACCCATCTTCATACTATAAAAATCACCCAAGTGATCTCCCATTTCTGGGACATTTAGTTTTTTTCTAGTTTTTCATCATTTAAAAAAAAGATGTGGCCCGGCGTGGTGGTGGCTAACACCTGTGATTCCAGCCCTTTGGGAGGCCAAGGCTGGTGTATCACTTGAGCTCAGGAGTTTGAGACCAGCCTGGGCACTATGGCTCTACAAAAAATGGAAACATTAGCCAGGTGTGGTGGCTTGTGCCTGTATTCCCAGCTACCTGGGGGGCTGAAGCGGGATGGTTGCAGTGAGCTGAGACGAGATTGCACCACTGCATTCCAGCCTGGGTGACAGTAAGAACTTGTCTTTAAAAAAAGATAAACCTGTTAAATTGTTGCCAGTATCCTCAATTGTTTCCTTAGGATTCTCTGTTTAAAATGGTTTTCCTGGCCGGGCAGGGTGGCTCACGCCTATAATCCTAGCACTTTGGGAGGCCGAGGCGGGTGGATCACAAGGTCAACAGATCGAGACCATCCTGGTCAACAAGGTGAAACCTCGTCTCTACTAAAAAAAATACAAAATATTAGCTGGGCATGATGGTGCTTGCCTGTAGTCCCAGCTACTCGGGAGGCTGAGGCAGGAGAATTGCTTGAACCAAGGAGGCGGAGGTTGCGGTGAGCCGAGATCGTGCCATTGCACTCCAGTCTGGGCAACAACAGCGAAACTCCGTCTCAAAAAAAAAAATAAATAAAAATAAAATAAAATAAAATGGTTTTCCTGACCAGCCTGGGCAACAAAGCAAGACCTGGTCTTTAGGGAAAAAAATTTTTTTTTAATTAACTGGGCATGGTGGTATGAACCTACAGTGCCAGCTACTCTGGAGGCTGAGGTGCAAGGATCAGTTGAGCCCAGGAGTTTGCGAAGTCCAATTCTATGAGATTTTTAAAGCTTTTGTTAGATTTTCCCCTCCAGAATGTTTGCATATATTCACCTGTGCATCAGCAGTGCATTTGTAAAGTTAACTGTGTAATTAAGATCCCATTTTAAAACTACAAATGTTAGGCTGGGCGCAGTGGCTTCTGCCTGTAATCCCACACTTTGAGCTGCCGAGGTGGGTGGATCACTTGAGGCCAGGAGTTTGAGACCAGCGTGGCCAACATGGCGAAACCCCATCTCTACTAAAAATAAAAAATTAGCTGGGCCCGTGGTAGCATGCACCAGTAATCCCAGCTACTCAGGTGACTAAGGCATGAGAATTGCTTGAACCCGGGAGGTGGAGTTTGCAGTGAGCCGAGATCACACTACTACACTCCAGCCTGGGTGACAGAGTGAGACTCTGTCTCAAAAAAAAAAATACACACACACACACTACACTGCTCAGTAGGAGACCTGGCCGCACACACACAAACACACACACAACCACTCTCTCTCTCTCTCTCTCCACTGCTCAGTAGGAGACCTGGCCTGTAATTGGCCCTCTGGATGGGTGCCTCTCTTCATTAAAGGGCTGAATGAGCTAGAACACACAGCTCCCACAGTTGTCATGTGTTCCAAAAGTTAGTTGTGTTTTTCTGTAGTTAACTGTTAAAATTTCATAGTTTAACTAAACTTTATACAAACCAACAAAACGTGGGGGCTAAAAGTTTCACTGTTGAAAATATGGTAAATGCATAATTTTTATTAAACATATAAACTGTGAATGCTGAAGAAAGAGTTCTTATTTCTACAGAAACTAAGGTCAAGGCTTCAACAAGATTAAAGGTGAGACTGGGCACGGTCCCTCATGCCTGTAATCTCAGCACTTTGGGAGGCTGAGGCAGGCAGATCACTTGAGGCAGGAGTTCGAGACCAGACTGGCCAACATGTGAAACCCTGTCTCTACTAAAAATGCAAAAATTAGCCAGGTGTGATGGCGCACACCTGTAATCCCAACTACTTGGGAGACAGAGACAGGAGAATCATGTAAACCCGGGAGGTAGAGTGTGCAGCAAGCCGAGATCACTCCACTGCCCTTTAGCCTGAGCAACAGAGCAAGACTGCCACAAAAAAGTGATAGAGGCTGTTGGTTGTTGAATATCTATCCACTCTTGCCTTCTTCCATATAATGAACCTTGGCTTTTAGGAGGGCACATATCATTCAATACAAAGACAACATTTATGCAGCCTCTTTTGAGGGCAGGGATGACTGTCATTACTTTCTGGACAACGGTATGTAATCATAAACATTATGGGGCGGTGCTAAGGTTTGAATGTTTGTGACCTTCCAGAATTCATGTTGAAATTTAGTCCCCAGTGCAATAGTACTAAGAGGTGGGGCCATTAGGAAGTGATCAGACTGTGAGGGCTCCTACCTCGTGGGTGGGATTACTGCCCTCATAAAAGGGCTTGCCCCCTCCCTCTCCCC